TTTCACAACTATTTCGTCCCCCGTCGAAATGCTAATTTCGACCGGGGTACACTAAATTTCGTCCCCCGTAATAATTTCGACCCCCGTAAATATTTTCGTCTTTTATAATAATTTCGGGGTCAATTTTGAATTTCGGAATTCAATTTCGGGGTCATTTTAAATTAACCGGGGTCGGGTTTTGGATTTTTAATTTTGGGGGCATGTATACTGGTGATATTTCTTTCTATTATAAACTATAATCTCATGTTGTAAAAAATCTTCAATACATGGATCTATACCACATGCTTTCAATTCTGTTAAAGGATTGCGTTTTCTTATAGTTAACTGCTTCCACGATTCTTCTACTAGTGAGGGAGGTAGTTGTTTTATCAAATCTATATATGCTTGATTGAATTTTATTTGTATATACCTGATAAAAATTCTGTCGAATTCTATAGAATCCTGAAAAAGTTTGTAACAAAAATAGTGTGAAATTATTTATATGTATATTAATTGATAATTTGATCCACTATTCTTTTTACGAGGCATGTTGATTGAATATATTTATAAAGGTAAATTTAAAACGATATACTACAATGGAACTCGAGAAGCAGAGCAAGGATCCTAAAGAGAAAGCATATCACAAATTAATGAGAGAAATCTTTAATACAAAGATGTTTTATGAAGCATCCAAACAAGATAGGTTTGAATCCCGAGCAGAGTATTATAAAAATAAAATAGAAGACTGTGTATTCGAGTACCTTTCTCAAGTGGGAGAAAATAAAAAAGGATGGTTATCTCGTGGAGCAGTTGGGACATTGCGTCAAGTAATAACTTCGCAAAAAGTATTGGATTTGCTTGATATAGCTGAAAATAAAGGACTCGAAAGTCCCAGTCAAATTATCATTTAATATATAGACACTTCGCAACTACTTTTGGCAATTAATTAATATACATATAACTAATTTTATACTATTTTTTTTGATTTTTACATATCAGCCTGTTTTATGGGTCACAAAAATCTCTAGTGTAGATAATAAATCGCGCTTGTTAATTTTACATCTACTCTAACTACAAATCGGCAGGATTCGATCAGCTCTTAAAATAGAGTGGCAGATAAGATGTATTTATATTATTATATTAATAAATAACGAAAAAATAAATATTCAGTTATCAAACTAACCATATAAATGTGATTTTATTTTTTTTTGCGTATCGCAGTCTACATATATTAAATGAATCTACTGTATATCTATAAATAAACAAGAAACAATTTATCCAATAATTATATCATGGTTAACCAAGAAATACAAACTTCAGATACTGTCCCAATTTGTACATGTGAACATGCGGATGAAATCAATTGTTACATTAAGAAAGAGTTGAATGATTTGTCTCGAGAATTGCTTGAAAACAGCAAAAAAACTTTTGGATCTCTTATGCAAGAAATCACTAAACAGTTTGAGGAGCAGGTTAATATTAATAATAAATTGCGCAGTGAAATAGATCGACAGAAGTTGTTATTGCAAGAGGACAGAAAGAAAACTTGAAAACTTGAAATCGAAATCTACTTATTAATGGATGTTTTAGTATAACTGAAAAAAGTAATTATGTGTTGAAGGCATTAGTTTCGCATTATTGCTTATTTTACCAATCTATGTCTAGTGTCGGTTTTTTGCTTAATAGGAAGTAGATTGATTTATCAGAGATAAACGGGCATTTCTTTACATTGAGAACCGACAAATTGGAACAATGGTATGCAATTTCATATATCGTTTTATCAGTGATATGAATATATTGAAAACTAAGATTCTGAATGTTTGGACATGAACGGACTATATTGCATACAGCATCATTTGTAATTCCATAACAAGAAGTGAGAATAAGCTTTTGCAGATTTTGATTTAACTGTGCAATTTTTTTGATTGATTTATTGGTAATCTGTTTACATTCTTCAAGAAAATAACTTCGCATATCTGGACAGCCAGTTGCAATTGCGCATATAGCTTCATCTGTAATTATATCATTAAAAGACAAGTCTAGATGTTGGAGATTTACACATGAGCGTGCAATTATACAAATTGATTCATTATTAATAAAAGGTTGTCCATTGAGGTTTAAATATACTAGATTGAGACAAGATCGTGCTATTTCAATTACAGATTCACTGTAAATATTACTATCTCTATATAAAGAAGCGAGACTTATGTATTTTAAATTTGGGCAAGATCGTGCTATTTTAAATATGCATTTATCAGTAATAGCTTTACATGCATCAAGACTCAGATGCAATAGTTTCAGACAATATTTTGCGATTTTCATAATTGGTATATTACTGAAACCATCACTTCGATCAAGAATGAGAAAGTTTATATCTGGACATGAACGCAGAATTGCAATGAGTAATGCATCCGAGATTTTTAGACCTGCCAATTTAAGATATATTATTTTTGAGCAATAGTGAGATTTTATTTTTTCACACATAACTCTTTTAAACTTTTTAAATTGCCAATAAAGAGGTCCAGATGTATTTTTACCCCATCGCCTTTGCTGATTATCTTCTATGGAAAATTCAATGCGTCTCCATAAAATTGGTGCACTGCAGTAATACCAAAGGCGATTGACGAATAAAGCTGGATAGAGCGTTTTATCCTTGACTAAGAAACTAAATATGTTTTCGAGCAACTCCGGAATAATGAGAAGGTGGGTCATGTTTGCTTCTTTATATATGTATTAAGAAACTTGAAGTGGTTTTTATATCCTTGGCGGAATTAGTATAAATGGTTAAAAATTTAATATGTGTTTACCCATACCGGCTTTTGGTTGAAATCTCGCTCTATTCATCAACTTGACAGATAGGTACATCCCAACCAAGCTGAAAAATGTCTTGCATATCTGAAATTACGCTCTGGTTAAGTAGAACGTTTATTATCAAAAACCTTATGAGGTTTTATCCAATCGGGGCCGTGGGGTTATGACCCCACTTTTAATGCCTCGATTTCCTTTTCTAGATCAAGAGGACTGTCCCATCGAAGTGAGAAAGACTCAGATCTGGGTTTATTCACATTAATAACTATAAACTCTTTTTGCCTCAGATATCCATCAATAATTTTCGCGGCCATGTGTGGATCGGCATCAGTATATGGAGCTATAATATCTGCAAGCTTTCGAATCGAGCCCCCACCATTACAGAGTACAATATGGGTAGCATTTTCACGGAAATCTATAGGAATTTTATGAAATTTTTGAGCAGTGTAAATTGAAGAGATATTCTGATGTCGACCTCTACTAAAAAATGGAATGATTTTTTTCTGTATAGTTGGAGGGTCGGAGTAAAGATCCTCAAATATCATTAATGTACTTCTTTTAGCATCGAATTTTTTCGGATCTGGAATTTTATCAGGTGTAAGTGTAGAAAATGTAACATCTTCGTAATATGGCTTTGATTTGTCTTGCGCAAGATATTTAAAGAAATTTTTAACTATTCTATATTTAGGTTCATTTAAATTATGTCCTACGAGAACTACATCATCGCATTTAACATTACGTCCCCTTATCTCGCTGGAAGCAGTCCCTTTGTGGCTAGATCTCTTTTTCTTTTTAAACATGTAATAAATTTTAGGCATTGTTAACAAGTTTAAAACGATATTGGTCTTACCTGAATTGCTAGCCCCCGCAATTACGATACGAAAAGCCCATGCTGGTGCATCTTTATCTCCCTGGTATTTCTTTGAGGGTTTTACCTCATCCACAGCGAAAATTACATACTTCATCCCGATTAAGCTAAGTAATACTAACTATTATATTGAAAAAATAATGATCGGGTTTATCGATAACCTTTTTAAATATGAGTATTAACAAATTTATATACATCTAGGATAATGATGACGACCAAGTATATATATGGAAGTTTTAATACTTGGCTTTAATCTTTTTAAGGTATTTACTGCAACTTTGGTAATACGCCTACAATCATCAATATTAAGATCTCAAAGATTATGACATGAATTTATAATTGTGTAGATAGATGAATTGGTAATATCACACCCTTCAAGATTAAGCCCCTCCAGATCTTGACATAAATCTGCCAATGTGGAAATACATTCATCGGTTATATGGACCCATGATATATCGAGAGATTTGAGTTTATGGCATGATCTCGCAATAGTCTTTATAGATATATCAAAATTAATATCTCTACCACCAAAATCATAATCTGCGAATGAAAAGCAATGCATATTGGGATGTGAAATAGCTATAGCGCAAATTCCATCATTGGTGATTTTACAAGATTCACCCAAGCGTAAATGACAGAGTTTTGGGTAAGAATATGCAATTTCTTTTAATGAGGCGTCAGTGATATTTGGACCTCCTATATGAATATGTTCCAGCTTATTACATGACTTAGCAATTTCGATAACTGAGATATCAGAAATATGATTACTATATTCTAAGTTAAGATAGGTCAGATTTGGACACGAGATTGCAATTTCGCAAAGTGTCTTATCCCTGATATGGTGACATTGGTGAGGACCTTTTGTATTATTGTAGAGTTTAAGATATGTTAATTTCGAATGTACAATTTTTCCAATAGTTTTGCTAGAAAATCCATGGCAATTGTTTATAGTTAAACGATGTAAGTTTGGGCATAAATTTCCAATCTGATATAAGGTATCGTTGGTAACTTCACACCATTGAATACAAAGGCAATCTAATCTCAATATATAGAGAGGAGTTTGCATATTTATCGATTTTGTAAATCGTTCCCATAACCTGCAACGCTTTTTATTTTTGCCACGAAAACTGACTACTTCCCATAATATTGGAACAGAGTACATGTACCATT